AGAAGAAGAAGAGGAAGAGGAAGAGGAAGAGGAGGAGGAGGAGGAGGAAGAAGAAGAAGGAGGAGGAGGAGGAGGAGGAGGAGGTCGTGTTTAATAAAAAAACACTGAAACCCTTCTTTTTTAATTAAAAAGCCTAGCAGCTGTCGCGTTGAAGAAGAAGCGCTCGCTTGCATCGCGTCGCTTCGATTGGTCGCTTCTCACTTTTTAGTGGGAAGCGGTCGCTTTTTTCTACCTGAGTCGCTTCACATGGCAGAAGCGGATAAAGGGCCGCTTTGCTTCGCTTCTCGCTTTAAGCGAGGAAGCGACCACTTTTATAACACTGTGACTCAATGAGTTGCATTATAACCATTTTATGCAATTGCATCTGGAATTATTTTAGTTCCAGAAGCAGCTACTTGAACCTTGGGTTGGCCCTTGTCAAGCATTCCTTCCCAAAAGCTTTCCGTAGAGAAAATAGTGGCTAACAGAAGAAATATATACTGTCTTTTCTGTTTGATGAAAAGTCTCTCCATTGAAGCCTGCAAGTTCCTCAATTGTATTAAGTAGACATGTTTTTTCTTGCAGGGTTCTTATAGAACATGTCCCTTGAGTTCTTCTTCATGGACTACTCGGAACAAATTGAGACATTCTTTAACAAAGATTCATACTGTTAGCCAAAAAGATAATTTCATCTCACTGAAGTGCAAATCCTGTTTGAGGTAGAATCTTATATCCTCCTTTTACCTTTGTTCTTGATGCCCAATTTATGTCTGCGTTTATGGTCTTAACTTTTGCAATCCTTCTATTCAGCCTTTTATAATGAAGAGGTTCACTAGCTGAGTCTTTTTTTAATTGAAGTAAATATTAAATGATATACTTCTATCAAATGTGGAGTGCAATAAGTATATTAATTAAAAATTTATGTGAGATTGATGGGTCCGTGCTGTATTTGGTATTATCTGGGGTAAAGTGCATGATAATTTTTATTTACACCTTGAGATAGTAAGATAATCCTTTCTATGTCATTGAGACCAAAGGATTTGAGAAGTGATGCAGCTTTTGCATTGTTGAATCGGGCCAAAAGTCTATTGTTTCACAACCTGTCTTGAATTTGCTGTCAATTGTCATTCAACAGTAAAATTCAATTGGAAGCCAAAGACTAGAGGACTTACCCCCACCCCCACTCAAAAAAGAAGAAGGTTAGAAGAACCCTTAGTCTTAATTTAGGTGGCCCCTTCTCCAGTGTACTCCATCATAGCTTCCTCAAATTCATTCCTATGCCTATGGAAAAAGAGAGTTTCTTGATGGAACTTTTGATTAGTTTTACCCTTATCATTTATCTATGAATATGTGTATGTTCTTTTCAGCGTTTTTGACAAATTCTTTTTCCCTTCTACATATATCCATTAGTAGGAGCATTAAGATGGTTCGGGCACATTCAGAGGAGGAGCACTGATGCACCGGTGAGGAGGTGTGAGCGACTGGCTGTAGTGGGCACGCGGAGAGGTAGAGGGAGACCTAAGAAGTATTGGGGAGAGGTGATCAGACAGGACATGGAGCGA